TGGTGGGCGGGGCTACGGAAGCTGCCGAGGTCGGCAAGCACCGCGCGAAGGCGGAAGCAGATGGGGGCGCGGCTTCGCGTTTGCTGGCGGGGCGCTGGAGACTCTCAGTCCGCGGTGTAGCTCATGTGTGAACTGGACCCGACCTTGGGTCGCTTGCCCTCCCTGCATTCCTAGCTGCCTCTTGGAAGTCCTACTGTGTGCTCTTTTCTAAGGCAGCCCAGCCCTGGTCAAGAGCCTGGACTCTGCGGTCGGATCGCCCTGGGGACCTTGGGCAAGTAATTTAACCTTGCCAGGCCTCAAGTTCCTCATCTGTAAATGGGGTAGGAGTCTTCTGCCTATGCACAGGGGAGACAGGAGCTCCAGCAGGAGGGATTTGCTTATTTCGTTTTTAGACTGGGCCTCGCTCCCAAACTGGCCTCGAACTCATGGCTATCCTCTTGCTTCAGCCTGCTGAGTGAGATTACAGGCGTGCATCATCACGGCCGCCAAGGAGGGATTTAAGGAACTCTAGACAAGGCAAGCGATTGAACGGGAGTGCAGAATCAGATCAGTTACCTTGGAGAGACCCGAGGAGAGAGGTAGAAGGTTAAGACCTGAGGAAGGCAGGGGCTGGACATGAGAGAAGGCCAGGCTGGGGGAAGATGGAAGGGGGTGGGTGGGCTGGTTTCCAGGGTTGGAGGAAGTCGTGGCTTATTTTACATTCGAGCTGGCAGGGTCGGGCGTCACTTTTTTGTTTGTTTGTGCTTGTTTTGAGACTCGGTCTCCCTATGTAGTTGAGACTGACCTGGAACTCACTGTGTAGTCCAGGCTGGTCTCCAGCGATCTTCCTGCCTCAGCCTCCCAAGTGCTGGGATGACAGGCGTGCGCCACCATGCTCGGCGCATCGCTTTTGTTTGGGACAAAACACCTCAGAGCTATGGGCTAGCAGCCCACTCTAGGGCCCAGCCCTCCAGTCCACACCTTTGCGAGCCTTGAGTCCCCCAAAGTACTGTTCCCAGGCTGTCTCCCGAGCGTCTGCACCTGTGCTGGGCGCACCTGGTGACCCCACCAGAAGTTAGCAGGCTCAGTCAGTCCAGAGGTTTATTTGGAGCCCCGATAAGGTGGAAAGGGAGGAGGGGTCATGGTCTCAGTGTGGTGCCAGAGGCCGTGGGCCGGGCCCTGGCAGGCCTGGTCCGGAAGCAGGGCTTGGCTGTGTAGTCTCAGTCCTGCGGGGGGCGCCACTGCTGGGGCTAGAGGGGGCACTATGCCGGTCTCCTTCCCAATGCCTGTTGGCCTCTCCTGTTAGTCTGTGCTGGGGTGAGAGCAGGAAATGGGTGTGAACCCCGAATTCTCCCGTCCAAGGTTTGAGGACCTCCGAGGATGACCCTAGTCCCTGACTTCGAATCCCACCAATTAATGTTATGACTTTTAAAAAATGTTTTTTTGAGACAGGGTCTCACTGTGCGGTTCAGGCTGGCCTGGAACTCACTATGTAGCTCAGGCTGGCCTTGAACTTGTGGCGATCCTCCTGCCTCAGCCTCCAGAGTGCTGGGATTACAGGCGTGCGCCACCACAGCCCAGCTCAGTTATGATCTTTGGCAAGTGACAGTCTCAGAGAGGACTCTTGTTTTCCTCGTCTCTTCTAGGGATTACAGCAGTAACTAGCTGTAGGTTGTTAGGGTTAAATGATTGTGGGCGCGCGACATCATTTAGCACTGTGCCTAGTGCGAGAGTGAAGCTCTAGGAAGGGTCGTCACCATCACCATCACCTCCCGCCTCAGCTCTCGTTTCAGACCTCCCCGCCCTCGCTCGCCTGCCTCCCTGCGGTCTGGCAGGCCGCGGGC